GGCGGAGAAGCGATTTGGAGATCCGGAGAAAATGGCGATCTGAAGCTTTCAAGGATGTCCTCTGTAAATCCGTGAGCTAAAGATTTGAAATTCAGCCCGTTGGCGTCCGTGGTCCACAAGTACAAGCATGTGAAAGTTTTGGTGGCAAGATTGCTAACTCGGAAACCAGAAAAGCTGGAAGACTGAAATTTTAGGAGAATATCCTGTGTCCAAATACAGCATAAAAGTTTTAAATTCAACCTCTAGGTGTGCTTGGTTATCGTGTATGGGCATTTAAATTTTTTGGCGGGGAAATTACCAAGTCATTTTCAAAGAACGACAGCTAAATAGAATTTTTTTTTTTCGTTTATGCAAAATTTACGATGATTTACGGTAGTAAGCGCACTAAGTAGGTGTGAAGCAGCAGCGTTCGTGCATTTAACTTAATTATTTCATGTTTTTTGCAAAAACGCATGATTGCACCGGCAAGCTTGGTGCATTTCAGCCTGGGTTTAAACAGAAAAGCAGCCCTAATGTTGCGTAGTTATCGTCCTACTGCGTTCACAAGCATAGAAGCTCACACTGATTCTGCTATTGGCATATCTATTTCTGTGAGATCACAGTTTTTTTCCGTTGGCATGTGAATTTTTGGAAGACTTGATACCTTCTAATTAGTATGTTCTCACATTCTTGCGATATGCGGCGTAACTGTGAAACCTACTTATAGGCTCACAGCGCCGTTCATTACCATTACGATGTGGTCTCAGTGCTTTTCATTTGTCCAAAAGGCGATCAACGCCGTTTAATAGTTCATTTACAAGTCATTTGAGCACAGTTCCACCTTCACCCGTTTTGCCAGTACGCTCGCCGCCGCCGCAGCTCAGAACTTCCGCAGCAGTTGCTCGAACAAACAGCGACTCGCAGCGAACTCCATTTCAAGAGGTCCCTTTCAGGAAACCCCTTCCATTATTCAAGAAACAACGAAAACCTTCTGCAGCTTCGTCATCGTCATCAACAGTGAGTCAT